TCTGATTCATGTGTGTGTGTCCGGAACGGATCCCCCACAAATTGGGAGGGACAACTGCATTTCTACAGTGTGTTTTGGACCTAAGTCAATCCAAACCAATGTACTGCCAGGGAGTAGGGCCACCCGCTTGCAGATGTTTCTCTCTCTCTCTCTTTCTAAAATTACAGCTCCAAGAATCCTCCAGTCAGAATCCTGGGAGATTTTGGAACTGTAGCCCCAAAACTAATTTTTCCAAACTCTGGTCCGATGTGAAAAGAATTTGGTGCTGTGGGTGCTACTTTCCCTTAGGCAGCTCTGCTTCTTGTGGTAGCCCTCAAGGAAAACACAAATGGGGTGGTAGACTCTCCTTGGGAGATCTTTAAATAGAGGTGGAATATAATATAATATAATATAATATAATATAATATAATATAATATAATATTGGATATAATATAATATTGGATATAATAATATACCTCTCAGGAGTGGTTTAGCTGTGGGTTCCTGCACTGGCAGGGAGATGGACTAGATCAGGGGTAGGCAACCTAAGGCCCGGGGGCCGGATGCGGCCCCCTGAGGCCTTTGGACCGGCCCCAGGCCGGTCTTGCCGCCGCCGCCCGCCATGATGATATTGATTATTGTTGTTATTACTTGTTCTTGGGGTTTTCTTGGCAAAGTCTCCACAGGGGTTTTGCCATGGCTTTTCTGGTGCTGAGAGTGTGCATGCATATATATTTTTAAAAAATATATTTTTAATTTTTTTAAATATTTATTTGTTTGTTTATTTATTTATTTATTTTTGGTGCTTCGGCCCTCCAATTGTCTGAGGGACAGCAACCCGGCCCCCGGCTCAAAAAGGTTGCCTACCCCTGGACTAGATTATCTTTTGAGATCCCTTCCAGCTCTGTGACCCTAGATATTTTCAGACACTGGAACCAGTATGTTAAAAGAATCAGTGCTATTTCATTCTTTATTTCTTCAGGTCAACAATCATAATCACAAAAGAAAACTGCATAACACACACACACACACACACAACAGGCTGATGAAAGCTGTAATCTGTTAAAATTTCCATTGCAGATTTCTAAAGCACTGATCCTAATGTATCATCTCCAAATAGCACACTGAGGGTGGTGTGAAAATGAAATAAGAAACCAATGCAAAAAATGTGAGGGCACTCCTTTGCCGCCAACATGTATGCTTCACGCTTCACGGGATTAAAGCTGTAGAGAAAAACCCTTCAGCAAAGGAGTGGAGGGGCAGGAATTAAAGAAATGGTGCTGGAGGCATGGGAAGAGAGGCAGCAACAGAGCACAAAAATTATAATTACAATAATAATAATAATAATAAGGAGAAGGAGACGCAGCACCAGCAAATCACAGGCGTGCAATGAAGAAACTTATTTTCAATATTGTAATTGTTTTTAATGCATTTTATGGTGCTTAGTTCTTTCACAAATTTGATATTTTTTTATCAATGTAGCTGTTTCAGTGATGTTCCAGTGCAATTTCTTTTAGTGCTTTTGAACGGATCCTTGTATCAGTGATTTTTAAAGTGTTTTGAAAGTCTATTAGAAGACTTTAACTCCTTTTCTTACTCTTTGCAAGATCGTTTCATCCAGTCACTATTACAACACAGAACTTCAAAGCAAATTTGGGGGGGGGGGGGACAGACGGACGTGACAAGAGCAAATCTGAGGTCATTTCTGAATTAAAGTACACCGAATTCCTCTAAAAACCAACATACATTTTTAAATAAAGCTTTTATGCCTCTAAAATTGTGCAGCAATGTGTTTAAAGCAGAAAGGAAGCCAAATGAAAAGAAAAGGGATTAAGCAAATTGTGAAAAAAACTGTAGGGGATGGAGCGAATCTGAGGCCATTTCTGGATTAAAGAATACAAAATTCCTCCAAAAGCAAATTTACATTTTTTAAATAAAGTTTTTATGCACGTCAATTTTGCAACCATGTGTTTAAGGGAGAAAAGAAAAGAATGCAAGCCAGTTCAAATATAAAGGAGTATGAAGGAGGCTGAGAAAATGGTATACTGTACTTAAAAAGTTCTCACTCTTTTCAAGAAATAAATACTGCATTATAGTGGACTGAGCATTGGTTTAGGGAGACCAAATTCCTGCCAGAGCATGAAAACCCACTGGGTGACTGTGGACAAGTCACACTCTCTCAGCCTCAGAGGATGGAAGTGGCAAACCCTCTCTGAAAAAACTTGCCAAGGAATAGGGTCTCCGTAAATCAAACACAATCAGGGTGCCCAGACATCCTCCTTTTCCAGGACATGTCCTCCATTTCAAGAGTCTGTCGAGGAGGAATCTCAAAATGTCTTCTGTTTTGAGCATGACTGAGAAGCATGAATTTACATTTATAGGAATGGTTTTAGCTTTTATTTGGCAAGGTCCTACGCTTTTCTCGAATGTCCTACATTTTGCGGTGCCTCATCCTCCTTTGCAGTTATGACATTTGGTCACCCTGAACACAACTCGGAGGCACACAACCACAACAACGGGGGGAAAAAGTGGAAAGATAAAGAAGTACCCACAATCAAAGAATGTCTGATAAAGCTTATTGATATGCAAGAACTGGACAAACTTACTAACTCTTTGCTGAATAATAAATCTCTAAAAAATAAGTTTGAGGAAGAATGGCTTCCAGTAGTAAAATACTGGAAGGAAAAATGGAAAGCTCTAATTTTATAGTCCCTTATCATTACAAAATGTGGAATTACAAACTGGAGGCTGAGAGAGTGTGACTGTCTTATGATACTGGAACCTCTCAATCTGTGTGGACTGTTGTTTTTTCCCCTGCATTTATTGAACTGTTATTAAGAGGAGATAAAGTTCAACTATTAGAATAAACAGATTAGATGACAAAGAGGAAAACAGATGTAATGGAGATGTAATGTAAGGGAGTGACAAAAGGATAATAATAATAATAATAATATAATAATAGATTAAGCTATCAGAAAGTTAATGATAAAGCAGAAGGAGGTAGAAGTTACTATAATTATTATTAATATTGGAATTACTATAATTATTATTAATATTGGAATTACTGTTTTTGCTATTTATTTATTTATTTATTTTCTAAATTGTGTAAGAAAAAAGAAATTATGTGTATAATGTGATCTTAATGTAGATTTTGTTTTTTTTTTTAATAAAGAATATATCAAACCACTACAAAAATGATAATTTGATCTTTATGGTTCTCACACCCCCTCTCCTAGTTCACAAGGGAGATTTCCTCTCACTTCTTCTGAGATGCTTCAGATTGCCAAAGCGGGTTAAAGTGTGGGTGTGAATATGTTGTCCAAAATATTTGGGGGGGGTCTGAATTTGGAAGAATGCGGAGGCATGAGAAGAGGGCACTAAGGGTGCATCTGTTGCATGCCTCCAAGTCATTTTTTACTTAAGGCAACAACCCTAAGGCAATCCTATCCTAAATTTCTTGGCAAATTTCTTCAGAAGGGGTTTGTCATTGCCATCCTCTGAGGCTGAGAGAGTGTGACATGCCCAAGGTCACCCCCTGGGTTTCCCATTGGGTGACCATGGGTGAGTCTCACTCTCTCAGCCTCAGAGGAGGGCCATCACAAACCCCCTCCGAAGAAATTTTGCCAAGAAAACCTTATTATAGGAAACCCAGGGGGTGACCTTGGGCGCATCACACTTTCTCAGCCTCTTCAGAGGGGGCCGTGTGTACATCTACGGCGCTTAATAAATAAAGCTAATAATATTAATAATAATAAGGAAACTAGCCAAGAAAACCCCATGATAGAAAAGCCAATTGGGGGAGTCACACACTCTCAGCCTCAGAGGAGGGCCATGACCAAACCCACTTCTGAAGAAACTTTGTCAAGAAAACCCTATGACAGGTTTGCCTTAGAGTCAAAAATGACTCGAAGGCACCCAACAGAAGATGTCCCTTGAAGCAGAGGATGGCCATGGCAAACCTTGAGCGAGTCACATACTCTCAGCCTCAGAGGAGGGCCACGGCCAAACCCACTTCTGAAGAAACCTTGCCAAGGTTCGCCGTAAGTCAGGAATGCCTGGGAAGTTGCCCCCTGAAGCGCCATCTTCCCCCTCAGGCAGGAGGGCCTGCGAGGCGCGTACCTTGGGCTCCCTGCTCCGCCTGAGGGGACCCTTTCTTCTCGTCCTCCTCCTCCTTCTCTCCGTCGCGGCGGCCGTACCAGAGCCAGGCGACGAGGGCGGCCACCAAGGCCACCACCACGGCCGTCCAGAAGCCCACCACAGGCCCTCCGCCGTCGTTCCTCTCAGGAGGAGCCATTGGAGGCGGCGGGAAGGCAGCGCTGGCCTGGGCGCCCTGGCCCGCCTCCTCCTCCGCCGCCGCCATGGCTGCGCCGCGCCTGAGGTAAGCAAGCGAGAGGCCCAGCGGCGTGAGGCGAGCCTTCGGAGGGCTTATATGGGCCCCGCCGCCCTCCACCTGCCCGCCCTGGGAGGAGCCATTTGTTTTCATTGGGCTTCTTCTTGCTCGGTGCGGTGGTGGGTGTGTCGTTATCAAGTGGTTTCAGACTTATGGCCACCCTGTCATGGGGTTTTCTTCTGAGGAGGGTTGCCACTGCCATCCTCTGAGGCTGAGAGAGTGTGACTGGCCCACCACTGGGTTTCCTAT